TGGCGTCAAAACAGAACCTGATGGCACAGGGCAAGGAAACAGCACATAGAAGTTGGAGTGCAGCCATTAGTTCTCATTGTAACAACTGCACAATACGTACCCAGTTTTAGAATGGTCTTATTTGTGGATCTGGCATTTGTGCATCTCCCATTAACAGCATGACCTGATAAGGACATCACAGCTTATTGCTTGCTCTTTTTTTTAAAGCTAGAGAAGCGGTTCTTAACCTTTTCTGGGTCAGAGACCCCTTTGAGAATCTGATGAAAGCTACAGACCTCCTTCCCAGAAAACTGCACAGAAACTCATGCACAGAAAATTGTGCATACAATTAATTTTATTGCTTCATTTTGTGTGTGTGCCCTGAAAGCCACCCAAGCTAGGGGATCCACGGACCACAGTTTAAGAACCCTTGAGCCACAAAATCTGAAATCTTGATTTTACTGGCTAAAGCTTCATAAGTCCACATTTTGTTTTTTAAGAAGAAGAATACGAAATCAGGTAACAATGGATGAAATTCAATTTGGCTCATTAAATTGAATGGACCTAACTTAGTCATGTCCATTAATTTCAATGGGTCTACTCTGAGTAAAGCTTAACTGAATGCCACCCAATGCACAGAAAAACATTTTTGCCCAGTTCTCACTGAAGTGAAGCCTTCTGAGTTCTCAGTATGCTTTGTATTCCCACTACTGTATATCTATACCAGCTTCCTGAATCTGGTGTCCTCCATACATTTTGGACTACAATTCCCATTACTCCTGACCATATATTTGTATTTGCTGCAATCACATCCACTGTCACATGCATTAAGATACTGTTCCAGAATGGCCTGTACATTTAGGGCATAATATACTAGGAAGTTTGTCTGCTCTGTTCTTATAGAGTTCCCATTTATATCAAGGGGAACTGTAAAAGCAGCATGAAAAAATGAATATGATTTGCAGAGGGATGGCCCCCTCTTGGGTATATATGGAAATATACTCTCTCCTTTCCCCCACCCCCAAATACAAAAAGCGCAGCCTAAGAGTTTGTGGAATCTACAAGTATTCTAAACTCACAGGACACTAGCATGTCAATGGCGCACAGAGTGAAACCAGTACATACAAGCCAATATAATAAAATACTGATTTTTCTTGAAACAATGCAAGTCAAAACAGAGAAGCAAATTATTAATTTAATCTGATTAGAAGGGCAGCTAAAGGTTGCCCCTTTTAATTGCTTGGAGAAACAGAGCAAATCCTTGCTATTCCCAAACCGCATAATTGCCTCCACATGTGCAGCCTCTGACTGTTCAGCAACATAGATAGCAGCAGTAATAGTATAATTATAACTTACAGCTCAAAGAGGTAAACAAAACTGTTGGCTCTCAGCCATTTCTTTTGCAAAGATTAGTAGTGCATATCTGCATATGGGCCTTACTGCTGGAGAGCCTATTAAATACAAATACAAGCAAAAGCTCTACCTTGATGCAGCTTATCGCAGCTGCTATCTTAGGACAATACAATGACCAGATGAAAGAAGCCTAGAAGTAGCAGCTGGCAGGCAAAACAGCAATGCAAGCAGCAGTTGAGCAGCAGGAGTTGTAATCATAAATGCATTAAGTGAGAAGCGAGGTAGAGAATGCATCCAGTGCCTCTAGAATTGTTTTAGTTCTGACTGCACTGAATTGGAAGAAAAAACAAATCGCATTACTTCTTACTTCCAGATGCCTTTATATATATATATATATATATATATATATATATATATATATATTTAGCAGCATGCTTAGATGACTCTGCAGCACATACATGCAGTTTCTGAAAAGAATTCCTTTTCTTTCATTGGTTTATGGACATCCCATTCAGCACCACATTTGATTGAACAGCGCCTGATGCTCAGGTTAGTTTTGTGTTTTCTTCCTTCATAATTCCTCCTATTTCCAGTATTCAGAGGTGGGTGCCGCTGTTTATGTAGCCAAACCACCACCACCAAGCAGAAGGGGGACCCCTCATCAGGCATGGGGAAACTCTGTGGTTTGGAGAAGTACAGAAATCTTTAGTGGGGAAACCCGGAAGGGCTCCAAGGAAGACTGAATGTGTTCAGTGGCCATAGGAATGCTGACTGTTTAGTTCTTTTTTTGTGTGATGGTCGTGGTGGGACCAGGTGGGAGGGTAATGGAATGGAATCTCCTGGAGGAGAGCATGACTGGCTGACTAGAACTCTAAACAGGACACTCCACACTGCAAACATTTTGTCTCAGAATACTGTTCCGCAGCTACTAAAGTTTCCAGCTGAGAAACTGTAAATAGCGATAAGGTGACAAAATGGGAAACCTAAAAGGGCTTGTTCTGTTGAAGTACAGTGCACAAAGACATTGCACTGGCAGTCTGTAAATATATGACTATTACATCTTAAGAAAAGCAGTAAGTTCATACATACGGAGCCCTGTGCTTCAGGGAATCAGACAACATTCCAGTATGCCTTCTTTAAAAATAATGCAAATAAAGTGTGCAATTTTGAATGACAGCATCTATGTTACCAATCTGGATTGTGAATAAAGGAATAAATAAATAAATCCCCAAACAGTGCAAAAGATCTTGTACCTTAGCATTTTCAGGGCCAAACTCTCTATGCAAGTAGTTAGGATAAATTTCCTTAAGCAACTGTTGGTCCTTATCCAATTTAAGGGCCCTTGTTTTGTACTTTATGATTAAAAAAAACACACCACCAGAGCTAAATGCTTACTACAGAGGCTTTTTTCTCAATAACGTAAACATTGCTTAGCAACCAATTTGCACCACATTTTTTACATTCAAAGCATCAAATGGCAGATGGATTAATGAAAACATCCTCCAGCACTCTGCTGAGTATTTACACTCCCATGAAGAGATATTTCTTTGAATGAGCCCAATGAGAGACAGCATGGTATTTAATAGGTGGGGGGAGCCTTTCCTTTCCTCAGTGCACATGTTAAAAGTGAGGAGAAGAGGTAACAGCTAGGCTAGCATTCTTGCCATGCCTGCTTGGGAATTAAAAGCTATATGAACCTCTCAGCCTTGACAGAGAAGGAACTGGAAGGTTAAACGATGAAGGCATTAAGTGACTTGAAGGTGCCTTCCCTTTAGCTGTTTATGATTAAACTCTAATCTGTTTATATAGTGGCATGACATAGCATTATCCATGACAATATTGTCCACTGTAGACTCAGCAGCTTAGCAACTATGCACAATCTCCTTTCAATGGCACCTCAAACCCTTCCATCATGCTGTCCCAGACCCTTCAGTCTCTAATTGTTCTATCTTCAGTCGCACATTTAAAAAAACCAACACAATTTGGCATCACTTTGTGGTTCCTGAGTTATATAGTTATAGCTGTCATAACAAAAAATGATGTGTGTGCATACACACACACACATTCCAATTAATGACCAGAAAGGAATTAATGACATGTCACCCAAAGCAATCAGCTGGTCGATGAAGGTACACAGTTTGCATTTTACATCTTACTAGGTGCAAAGAGACAAGAAGGTCAGAGAGGAGTGGAGGAGAAACACACCCATTTCAATAATAGACAGAGAACCACAAGATTGCAAAACCCCAGCTCAAGCAATATTTTAGCATGCTGAGAGACAGGGAGTTCCAGCAAAATTAACCATAGTTTCCAGTATATATTAGCTTAACCCCAAAAGCCTCCAGATATTTAATGGAAATAATTGAAGGATTGTCGTTCGCTCCAATTCAGGGGTAAAATGTGGCTGCTTGAACACAGACCTGGAAAGCCCAGACCTGTGCCTAGAAAGCACGAAGCAAAGGGAAGCGTGGATGAGCTCTCAGTTCTGTCAGACTTTTCGTGAGTCTGAATGCCTGAGTAAGGAAGGTGCTCAAGAGGTCACAATTGAGCACAGTTGTGTATGTCTGGGGCACCCACCACTTCCCCTTCCTCCTCCCTTCCTTCAGAAGCAGGTAAAGAGCAGGTTGCAGGAGGAAAGAGCCCTTTGAGGTGAACAGCAAAGCATGAAAGGGCAAATGTTGGAGGTGCAGAAGAAGGATGCTTGGGAAGCCAGGATTATGGAGGAGGTAAAGAGGCAATTCTGGACTAAAGGGCTAGAGAGACCTGCAGATAAGATTGCGCATGAGGCTGCTATATGGGATGCTCACCTGATGAGGCAGCAGAACTTGAAGAGCGTGGAAGTGTGTTGTTCAGGTAACTGTGGAAGGCACTAATGAGATCAGAGGACAGAAGGATACTTGAAGGAGGATGGTTGGCTGGTTGGAGGATGAGTGTTCTCTGGAGGTGCTGGATCATTGGGCAAAAAATAGCAGGGCTGCCCCCTTTTTGCTGGCTCTGATCCAGGGCCTTCCAGAGCACAGAATCATAGAACTGTAGAGCTGGCAAGGGACCCCACGGGCAATACAGCCTGCAAGTATGTGACACTCCCCTCCCTGTCGTGCCAAAGTGCTTCAGTGAGGCGTGATTTTAGCATGTTAGGCTTCTGTTAAAGCCAAAAGAATGCTCTATCTGCAGGAGGTGGCAACCCTACAAAGGCAGAGGTAGAGGCTGAGGGAATGACAGCTTGAGAAGGGAGAATGGGGAAGAGTGGATTGAGATGGGCCAGGCTGGGGAACCGCATCCCTTGAGATGCTCTCAGCCTCCATCTCCCATCCTGCCTGCCCTATTAGCTATGCCAGCTGGTGCCCATTTGGACTTGGGGGTCCCAGCAAGAGCTATGAACCCCAGCCTAGGCTGAGAGAGGAGGAGGAGGAGGAGGAAAGCAGTTCTGGCAGCTAGCAGGTGGCTTTGAAAGGGAATGCAACTCTTCAGATAAAACGCTGTGCAGGGTGCAGGGGGCGGGGCCGGAGGCTCAGAGGGAGAGCCTGAGGCAGAGAGGCTGGAGAGGCGCCCGAAGGCAGCAGCAACCTTTCGAGAAGCCGAATGCAGCCGGGGAAGCCGGTCTCCCTCCCCTTCCCCACCTCTGCACCCAGCAGACACCCACCCGCGCCTTCCAGGGTGTCAGAGGGCTACTCCACATTCTCAACTTCGAGGTCACCGTTGCTCGCCTCGCCTCCAGTTCCAGACAGGGAATCCGGCGCTGTCACCCAAACAAGTCTAGGGATGGACGCCTCGCCGCCGCCCCCCGCCCCCGCTCCTCCCCAGTTTCCAGCCGCGTGTGTGTGTGTGTGTGTGTGCGCGCGTATTGCACCAGCGCCTTGGAAGGGCGGGATCGTGGGGGAGAAAAGCGAGGGTGACAGCCAGGACATGTCAGGGATTCACATTCCTGCAGCGGCTCCCCCCCCCCGCCACTTCTGCACCCAGCAGACACAAAGCGGTGTGTGTGTGAGAGAGAGATTGTGTTGCAGATATGTACAGCAATAGCAACCTCATGTTTCCACCGGGGAGAAGAAGGGCTTTGGATGAGAGGCTAGCGGGTGGTGGGGTTGGGCGAGGTGGGCGCCACTCACCTGCCTCGAGGTTGAAGGAGATCCTGGCCTCCGCGAGGTAAGGGGTGTCACTCTTGGACCGGACTCTCCTGATGGGTCTCCGGTCTATGTCCTCCTCGGAAGATGCCGCCATTAATGTGGGTACGGTGAGCAGGGTCGCCCGGCGAGCTGGTGAGGGAGGAAGAGGAGAGAGAGGGGTGGAAAGGAGGAGGAGGAGGAGGGCGCACACGCATAGGAAGGGGGAGGGGAGAGAGAGAGAGAGAGAGGAGCAGGGACACACGGAGAGAGAGAGAGGGAGGGAGGAAGGAAAGAGAGGAGGGGGAAAAGAGAAAAAGAAAACCCGTCAAGGATCTATGGACTGGAGTGGAGCTGGAAACCCTGCCCTGCCACCCCTCTCCTGGCAGCCCCAGGGGCAGAGCCAGAGTCCCCACGTGGCACCCTGCAGAGCCTAACAAAGCATGAAGCCTGGGGGTCGCCTCTAAAGCCATCGATGCAACGGTGAACGGTGGCTCTTTAGTGGGCTGGACCACCTCTAGCCCAGCAGATTTGCAGATCAATGTTTAGCGTGCTTTGTTGTATTGCTCTCTCCCTCTGTGTGTGTGTGTTGCTTCGGGTTTCCTGGGCAAATGTCCCAGCGGAGGAAGCAGGTGGAAATGTCTTGAGTTGTTCAGAGAGAGCAATGAAATACAGGCGCCAAACTTTTTTTTTTTTTTTTAATGCTGAATTAGGAGATAATGAAAAAAAGATGCTAGGGAATTGCTTATGCAGTCACCAGCCCTTCATACAGCTGCTGTTAGCACACATATTGACAGTAGACATGCCTTTAAAAAAAGAAAAAGAAATAAAAGGATAGGGCAAAGATAAGGCTCTTATCCAAAAATTAAGTACCTCTGGTCATACTTGTTAAGGATTAGACACTCTCTGCATTTTTACATGATCTCTTAGGGTGACCACATTTTTATCCAACTCAAGGAACTCAAGACAGCTAGTACAAGATTATATAGTGCTTCAAGGTGTTCAAAGCACTTTCCATACATTTTCCACAACCCTGTATGGTAGACTAGCATTATTACTCCTAAACTGTGCTATGTGCATGTGTGCGTGTGCACATGTTAAGACTGAGAGTGTCTTGTCTTGTCCAAGGTCACCTAGTGAAGTTCTGGAGTGGGCGGTAAGGACCATGTGAGAATGGTTCCAGAATTCGGACTAAAGCTTTTGACCATCCAAAAACCAAATGGTTGCCTACCCTTATCAAACACTTATGTCTATGGACATGAGAAGCTGCCTCTTGCCTAGTCACACCCTGGGTGGGTCTAGCTCTGCATTGACTGACCACAACTCTCCCGGTTTTCAGACAGAGTTCTCTCCTAGCCCTACCTGAAGATGCTGGAGATCTGTACCTGGGACCTTTGGTATGTAAAGTGGATGCTCTACCACTGAGCTATGGCCCTTCTCCTATGCTGGCCATACTCTGGGAAGTGAGGCATACAAATGCACCCTTTTTACAAGACCTTACAGAGAGGAAACATGGCTTTAGGTGTTCCTCGCTCTGCTCATTCAGCCAATGAACACCATATTCTGTTCTGGGGAGGAGAAGAGCCATAGCTCAGTGTGCTTTGCACACAGGAGGTTCCAGGTTCAATTCCTGGCCTCTCCAGGAATTGGTGTGGATGGTACTTAGTTGGCAGTATGACCTATGTTCTTCATGGTTCCTTGTATCTGGAAATATGACCATCAATCCTTCATTATGATGACTGAGAAGCCAGCGTGATATGAAATATGTAGCAATGGCTGAAGCCAAACCTTGCAGCAACACCTGTGTTATTAGTCCCATTCAGGCAAGGTGCTAAATGACCTTGAACCAAAGGCTACTTTCAGGCATCCTTCATCTTTCTGAATTTTTCTCTATAGGAAATGAATGTTTAAGGGTGACTTGCTTATGAATGGCACTGAAACTACGAGCATGTGCCCTGCAGCTATCCGAAGATCCTCATCTGGTTCTGTCCCTCTAAGCAGCAAAGCCAAAGGCTGCCAGCAACCCTTTTGCCTTCTCCATACACTGTGATAACAGGGGAGCTTGTGAGAGACCTCATTGCTACTGGTACCCTTACCACATTCCAATAAAGATGGCTCACACAAGCAAGAAAAGTTGGATTTTTAAAAAACAATAATCTTAGAGGGTTTTATACACTGCTCCTAAACAAATTCCTATGCTTAAGCTGCAGCTCTTGTTTGTTTTGGCAGAAGGACTTTTGTAAAAATAAAAATAAAAATTCAAGAATAGGTAATGACAATCTTTCATAATTAGAATTACAGTGCATCTGTCCCTGTGATTTCTGGCCCAGCAAAATATTTTCTTCAAGAATACCAGTTTGTGAAAGCTCTGCATTTTCTCCTGGTAGGAAATCCAGCCTAAGGGATTTTGCTTACTTTCTCTGGACTTGCGTATCTATAAACCAAAAACCTTCAGCTGTTCAGCTTCAAGAGTATCAAGAATAATCTGCATTTTATGCCTGTAGTTGAAAGAAATTTCAGCCACCTGGCAACACCCATAAATGTGCATATCTTTGTGTTTTAAAAAAAATCCCCCAGAATTTCAAGAGGGGAGGGCAGATCCAGACTTCCCAGTGTGCATTTTGAACAAACAAGTCTCTGGGGGACACCTATTCACTAATTTTAATTGGGATACTAACAATGTTAATTGAGGGGGTTTGTTTTTTTAAAAAAAATCTATGACAGAAAAATGGCTCATTAAGTAATCACCTGCATTTGTATTATAATTTGTTATCATTTTCTTCCATGAGAGCTTCCTTCCTCGACTTTCCTCTGGCATGAAGATTAGTGAATGAATAGGGCCATCCTATGTATATCTACTCAGACATGAGCCCCATTGAGTTTCAACCCTATGCACATTTTCCTGAGAGTAAGTCCCACAGAATATAGGGGCTATAAAGAGCAGCATACTGTAAATCAGTTTGTTTTGTACATGTCCCTTCAAAATAATATGTATCTGTCAGTATTCTGAGGTTCCTGAAACACATAATGTAATAAATAGATCCCATCCACTTCCTTGCCTCAAATTTAAATCAATGCTCAACTATACACACATGTAAATGGGAAGTTGAATTGGACGCTACTTTGCATCTGTAGGTTAGGGAGAAAAATCAAACGGCAGTCCCTTGTCTTATTTTGTATCTGTCATGTACAGAATCTTTTATTCAAACAGTAAAGAATATATGCAAGTATTAAAATATAAGCCAGGCTAGCTTCCTGGTGAGGTGATAGTCTAGGTAATGGGCTATTAAGGGATCAAAGGAAGTGGATCTGTGCCAGATACCAAATGGGTGAACCTCCCTCCCTCAACTGGCTGGTAGTTAGAAAGAAAAAGTTGAGAGTTCAGAGAGCTGAGTGATGCGAGCTGGAAGCTAGAAGTGGAAAACAAACAGGCTGGGAAGCCAGAGAGTGATGCTTGATTTCTTGAATGTTCTTAATTGTTGTTGTTTTTTATCAGAAAAGTTTTTTGTTGCTGCTTTTACTATTTTGTTGTTTGTTGAGCCGGTCTCCTTTGGGAGGCAGGGAAGGAGAGAAATTGAATATGCAAATGAACAAACAAATTATCCCTGGAACTGACCAGAAGGAAAAGGCTTCCAATTCCTCTTAATTATGTTCCCACATTGCAATACCTTGTAGAAAATGGTTGGTAAAAGCATATGCCATTTATTCTCAATGCCTACCAAAAAGGGTAGGCAATTCTGCAAGCCACTGAAGACCCCTTTCTGGCTACTCCTTTCTCTTCCTCAAAGAGCTGCTATTAAAAATGCCATAATTATTTGTTACAGCTATTTTAGCGGGGGTATCTAAGAAATGGCTAAGAGATGGCTATACCTGGTGTTTCAATGTGTACCAAACACACACGAGTCCAGTTTGGCTTTTTCATCTTTTCCCCTGTGGTTCATCCTGAGCATTCCCAGTTACAGTTGCTGCTTCTCAGCAATGATTCATGCGAGACCCGTGGCTGAGAAATGTGTCACCCTCACTCCCCCTTATCTGGATACTTCGGCAATCTGATTTATCGGGAGCAGAGGAGTGCCTGGACGTGAAGGGGATGTAAAGTATATTGACTGTTATGCAGTAACATGGAAATAATGGGCCTGTTTTATTGTGCATGTCAACTGTGGGTGTTGATTTTCATGTTTTGATGAACTGGTTTATTGTGTATTTTAATTGTGTGTGTTTATTTTATTTTTTTGCATCTTCTTTTATACTTGTAAACTGCTTAGGAGGCACCTTGGCATAAATTTAAGGTTTATTAGGTTTAAGTTCATATAAATATAAAACTTAAACCTAATGCTGTACATACACATTTTTTAAAAAATGGCTATCACTAAGCCTTCCTTTTTAACCAGGCCTTTGGTGGATCTGATTGACATTCTATGCCCTTTTAAAATGTGGCTCTTTTTTGGGGGGGGCGTGCTATTCAGTTTATTATTTATTATATATATTGTGGTTTTTATGTTTATCTTTTCTGTGAACCACCCTGAGACCTCAAAGAAGAAGAAGAAGAAGAAGAAGAAGGTGGTCCATGGCATGTAAGAGATACAGTGGTACCTCAGGTTAAGTACTTAATTCGTTCTGGAGGTCCGTTCTTAACCTGAAACTGTTCTTAACCTGAAGCACCACTTTAGCTAATGGGGCCTCCTGCTGCTGGAGCACGATTTCCTGAAGCAAAGTTCTTAACCCGAGGCACTATTTCTGGGTTAGCGGAGTCTGTAACCTGAAGTGTATGTAACCCGAGGTACCACTATACAGTAAAACTGAACTACAATGAGTCAGAGGGGAAAAAATAATCTATGTGATCGGAATGTGTGACTTGTTCATCTTGTGTTGGCCTTCAGCCTTCAGTATATGAGCCAACCTTCTGATAGCACAGATCTCACGATCCCCAGGATTGGGAAAACGTCATCTTACAGTGGATCAAAAAGAGGTCCCCATGTTCTAATGATTTGGTAGAAGGTCCCTCCCAGTCCACCAGGTTGTATAAATGATTCTGTGTAATGTCTACAAAGCAAGCGAGGCTAGCACTGTAACAATGATGGGGAAACTCTTAATTGGCCCAGTGACCATCCACTGACAGGGCCAGAGTTACGGCTGAGCTTAGATTGCCCATTGGCTTGCAGCCAGTTCCAGAGCCTTGAATAGATTTCAGTTCTGGTGACACCATGCACTGGTGCATAGCTTTATACTGTCTTTCTTAATAACAAGAGGCTACAGTTCCTGACGAAAGCTGAAAACCTCCACCATCTATTTAAACGTCTACCAATCTAAATAACAAACTTGTAAGCCCCCATAATGTTTAGATCCCGCTTTTGCACTCGTATATATTGGTTGTTACCCAATGGCCTCTAAACACATTAACAGAGGAACTGCTAGACCAGTGCAATGGCCCATCTAATCTAGCAATCTGTTCTCCCAGTGGCCAGTCTGATGCCTGTGGGGAAACCTGCAGGCAGGACCGAAGCACAAAAGCACTCTCCCCTCCTGAAATTCACAGTAACTAGGATTCAGCAGCATATGGCCTCTGACAGTGGAGGTAACCTGGATATCATTCCAGACAGAGGGGTTCACTTGCATCCCAGAGAAGCGCAAGAGGTACACAGCAGGGGCCCCTGCTTTATTTAGACAATTCTCAATGTCCCCAAACTGTTTTAAACTGAATGTAATATTTAATCCACTGATTTCACATAATCAGTTTGAAACAAGATGTTCAATTCATGCAGTATACTTTAAGCAGTCATTGGGCATAGTTAGAATTTGCACAAGTCAATAAGCAAGAAGCAGAGGCAGTCAGTTTTATTCACTCTGCCACCTGCTGGTGCAAAGAGAGACAGAACTGAAGAAATGCATTGAGGGGTAGCTCTGTGAAATCAGAAACACACCAAATGACTTTGAATCAAGTTCCAGGAATCAAGAATAAATAATATTTTCAGTTCTGGCCCTCTGACAACATTAGGAAGATTGCGTAGGTATTTCAAAATTAGCACAACGATGAATGAATTCAGAATTTTGGTTCAGCATTTGCCAAGGAAGTGGGCACTTGGAACATTGATGTACTGTTCACATGCACAATTAATGCAGAAACTCTTTATTACTGAGGCCACCCTTCTTTTGACTGAGGTGGATTTACACAGGCCACAGAATGAGGTGGGAATGTTCTGAGGCAGTCAAGTACTTTATAACCCTTCCAAACAGAACATCATTTAAAAATATGCCTGCATTACAACTCAACAAAAACGAAAGCTCCCTGCAAGGAGAAAATTAGCACAACAAGGAGAAATCTCTCTATTGTATTTGATTTCTTCACAAAGGGAAGTGGTTTTATATATTTATTCATTTATGTCAGGGAGCATTCAAAAGTGTAATAATGCCACTTGTGGTGGTAGAGTCTACTACCAGAGGACTCGAGCATCCAACGTATGTACAGTGGTACCTCTGGTTATGAACTTAATTCGTTCTGGAGGTCTGTTCTTAACCTGAAACAGTTATAAACCTGAGGTAACACTTTAGCTAATGGGGCCTCCCGCTGCTGCGCTGCCACTGCACAATTTCTGTTCTCATCCTGAGGTAAAGTTCTTAACCTGAGGTACTACTTCCGGGTTAGCGGAGTCTGTAACCCGAATTGTTTGTAACCTGAGGTGTTTGTAACCCGAGGTACCACTGTATAGAGCTAGATTATTCCCAGTACATTACTAATACAATAATAATAATCTGATTTCTTCTATGCACGTTCACTCCTGAAGGTCTAAGTAAGGAGCAATTTTCATTCAGATAACTTCATGGAGGAAAAAGTTAAAATGACTTTGGACTTAAATATTTGAGATATATATATATATATATATGATAAAAAATTGTCCAGTAGCACCTTAGAGACCAGCTAAGTTTGTTCTTGGTCTCTAATGGTCTCTAAGGTGCTATTGGACATTATATCTAGATCTAGATCTAGATCTAGATCTAGATCTATCTATCTATCTGTATATATTCAACTTCATCAGACCAACATGGCTATCTACCTGAATCTTAAATATTTGAATTCCCTATATATACTTTGCCTGGATATTAAATGGTGCTGGTACCTTCAGTACCCCCATAAAAAGCACTGGCTATAAGTATTTTAAATAAAATATATAATTACTACCACCACCACCCTGGCCACTCGCCGCAGTCCAAATCCCAAATTATGTGTTTGGTGTAGGGTGTAGTTTGCTCTTCAATTTTACATGTGTAGGACTGAGCTTTAAGCAATTTTGTTGTTGCTGTTGTTGTTGAAGTGCCCAGTGGCACTTCAAAATTGTGTGGGCACAGATGAAAGCCTTCCATTGCAACCAACTTCATTTCCAGCAATTGTACTGAGAGGAAATCAAAATACAATAGGAAGTTATTGTGTGTGTGTGTGTAATCCGATCTTCTTTTCAATAAAGAAGACATTCATTAAGGCACAAGCCATCAATAAAACAATAATGATTTGTTATGCATAGCCCATTTGCTATCTTCTTTCAATCCCTGATGATATTATATCCCCGGATGCTTTTGGCCTGAGGTGCAGTGATGATGCTGACGATGGTTCGGTGGTGGCTTTAAGGGAAAGGCATGTGCTGACATAAGTGCCAGGAGCCCTCGTGCCTTTCCGTAAAAGCATGGCAGTAACTGGAAAATGCCAGGCGCCTGCAGCAGCCTCCTACCACATAGAGCCTGGGCATTTCTCAATAATTTCCTCTTTAAAGGCTCAAGGTTACTCAAGACATCTCAGCGTCTTATCTATGGGGATGAAAACCAGCCATCCTGACATAATTTTGGGTGCACGCCAAATACATTTTCAGTCCCCTGCCCCTTTGAGATGTCACCATATTTTTCACAGCTCCTTGGACCAAATGAGAGGCGACAAGATGATATCCATGGTAGGATCTCCTTTTCATATACAGTGGTACCACAGGTTACATACGCTTCAGGTTAAACACTCCGCTAACCCAGAAATAGTGCTTCAGGTTAAGAACTTTGCTTCAGGATAAGAACAGAAATCGGGCTCCGGCGGCATGGCGGCAGCAGGAGGCCCCATTAGCTAAAGTGGTGCTCCAGGTTAAGAACAGTTTCAGGTTAAGAACGGACCTCTAGAACGAATTAAGTACTTAACCCGAGATACCACTGTATGTTAAAAATAAAAGCGGGGCATAGATGAGAGAGAGAGAGAAAAAGGGAAGAGAGTAATAAATTCCGGCCAGAGTGTTGGAGGAAAAGGAACTTAACATCATGCATACCTGTATGTTTCTCCCCACAGTTGTTTCAAGGTCAAGTAAGGTCAAGATAATGGCAAAGTGGGGAAAGGATTGCACTCCCTCCCCTGATTCCACCAGCCCTGATCTAACTCTGCTCTTCCCAATAGCTTTATTTAACCTTTCGAAAGCATACAGCAGAAAGCCAATGTGGTACAGTGGTTTGAGCAGCCTTCCTCAACTTTGGGTCCCCCAGTGTTGTTGGACTACAACTCCCATCATCCCTAGTTAGCAGGACCAGTGGTCAGGGATGGTGGGAGTTGTAGTCCAATAACATGTGGGAACACAAGCTTGAAAGTGTTGGACTAGGACTGGGAAGACACAGGCATGACATTCATTGGGTGACCTGCAGCTAGTCACTGCCTCTCAGCCTAATCTACTTTACAGGGTTGTTGTGAAGAGAAAATGGAAGTGTGTGTGTGTGTGTGTGTGTGTGTGTGTGAAGAGCCAGCTGTGCTGGAGCCCCTTGAAGGAAAAGTAGTGCAATAAATAAATAACCAAATCTTGTAGTGTCCCCATTAGCATCTTGAAAGGTGCATTGAAGATTGAAGCCACCTCCCATAACAAGAGAAACAGACACAGTTTCCATCCACTGGTTACCTTCATCTCAGACTCCTCCACCCTCCAATGGCCACTCTTGCCCAGCCTCCACCCCCACCCAAGCCAGGGCTATTCTTTCTTTGGAAAGTCATTCCTGAGTCAGCTGAGCTATATTTGTTCTACCACAGGGGTCAGCAAGCTTTTTCCATCCCTCAGACCATGTGGTAGGCCGGACTATATTATGAAAAAATATATATGCATGAACTCTTATGCCCCACAAATAACCCAGAGATGCATTTTAAATAAAAGCATACATTCTACTCATGTAAAAACACCAGGCAGGCCCCAGAGATGCATTTTAAATAAAAGGACACATTCTACTCATGTAAAAACACGCTGATTCCCAGACTGTCCGCGGGCCGGATTGAGAAGGTGATTGGGCCGCATCCGGCCCCCGGGCCTTAGGTTGCCTACCCCTGTTCTACCATAAGAAGGGAATTTACCATTTCCCCTCATGCCTTCCACCAGGGGGCAACAGTGCCTTTACCTTAACACATTTATTATTATTATTATTATTATTATTATTATTATTAACCCCAGTAACTCACCACCTCAAATTACATTACCTTGAGCTCCTTGACTGTAAAACAGCCGATAGGCAGAGTCAACATCTAGGAGGTAGTCCATCTTGAAAGGACTATCCATCTTAGAGGGATTTTGTGGTCACTTCTCCCTTGTTTCCCAAAGTGATGTAGTCAGCCTCCTAAGAAAAGGAAGAGGAAAACCCTGAATATTAAAACAGGCTAAAAGCTTACAAGCAATATTTAAGCCATCCTAATTTTGGAGGGTGGGGAGATGGGGTGGGAATCCTCTACTTTTTCATTTCATTCAAATCCCCAGTTTTCCACATTGCATGTTTCCCCATACACAAATTTAGAAAAATGAATGAATGAAATGGAAGCTTGCAATTTTTGTGCATCTGAAGCTGCTCACCTTTTAAACTGCCTGTTGCACCCTGCCTTCTCCTTAAAGATTGTGTGAATATTATTTTTGCCCTACTAGAATCCTAAGCACCCTGTCAATACTGCAATACAAATGCTAATAAATCCATTTTTTTAAAAAACAAAACATTTTCTCCAGTCTTCTGACAATATTAGCCTTGCACTTTTCCAGAGATGAGTCAGCCCACAATTATTTTTGTAAAATGTTATTTCATGCTGGCAGGGAGGACTGGTATGACTTCATGTTGCCAGCTTTTAAAATGTTGGAGAAAGTGACTATCATTCCCATATTGTCAAAGGTTCTCCCTGTAAGCTTTTTGGGTGCTAGCATTCTCCTGAAATCTTTACACAGTGTTGGAGTAGTAAAAGTAGGTTCTGGCATGCACTGGTAGTACTCATACATTTTATATTCGGTATGTTCACTGTCAATGATCCTGGCTCCGTCTTACCTTCCAGACTCCTGGGTTTTCCTTCCCCTCCAGGACACTTACGCTATATATTTAGAATCCAGCATTCACCAAACATTATAGACAATTAACTGTGGATATGACATTAACAGCATTTAAAAGGGGGTGGTGGCAGAAATCCTGGAATTAATCACCTCTGTTATGCTTAATTATCAAAAAGGTCCTCCAGGATTCCTTTAAAAGCATCTCCTCCCATTAGTCCTTTATCTAGAGAGAGGTTCCCAAAGCATAGATGGGGAATTCTTCTTCTTGGTCAGTCAGCATGAGATCATTTCAATATTTGCAAGCTTATCGTAGCAAGAAAACTTCTGTAGTTCTTCAAGGTGGTTTTCTGCAGCATCAAGATATTTATATATATAGCAAGAGAGAGAAGTCTGCCAATGGTGAAAGGTTCAGTAGTTTCGAGTGAGAGTTCTTTTGATCTGGCTAAAAGTCCCCCAATGCAAGCAAATAATTTTGATGGTTTGATTGGAACTCAGATGAATAATGTATAACATCAACTGGACCTCTTTTATCTGATACCAGGAGATGTTACTAAGCAACAGAAGGTGACACTTGCCTCTCCTCTACTCCCACTCAACCTCTCTCTCCTCAGGAGGAAAAGACCATCAGCTCCTGGTGGCAACTTTCCCAATGAACAACATATACATACATACATACATACATACATTCTATAAATGTGATTTATTTCTCTCTCCCCACAACCCACATTCCTGATCTTCTCTTTCTTTGCTCAATATCAGAATGGTTAGCATAAGAAGAATAAATGCTGCTGCAATGATTAACTCATACCACTTTGCCTTGTCTAATAATTTACTTCCAGCCCGCACCCCCCACCCCACCCCCCGACTATTTACCACAAGAAAAATGGGGCTATAAAGTTATCTCACAGTAAAATGCAAAGTGATGAATAATGCAGGGGAATGCTTCACTGACCAATTCTGTTCTTATCAAGAGCTAGTGGATTGGTTTTAGTCACTCTCTCTCTCTCTTTTGGATATACCAGACATGTTTTCCTAATGCCCAGCAAGTCCAAAGGTTAAACCCCCCTCGCCTTGCAAAACAGTTCTCTAGATTTTGGAAATATAAAGATTATATGGACCAAGAATCTCTGCAAGACAAAATGCATGTCATAAAGCCTTTTTAAAAAAATATTTCCATCTAGATAAGGATCAGGAATAATCTATACAGGATTTTTTTTAAAAAAACAAATAAATAAAGCAAAACAAAACAGTTGTTTATAGGAAAAAGGTACTTACCGATCTCACGATCCTCTTTGCATCTTACTGTATACCATGAAGTAAAGCTAAGCAGTAATTAAAACTGCCTCTAAATCCTAGCAAGTCACTTCTAATTCTCACTTCAGTCTTAAAATAAAAAATGAGGAGGAGAAGGTAACAAGACTGCTGTATACAATGAAGAATTTGGAACCCCTATGCACAGATGAAAGGAGCCTGTCTTTTTCAGAACACATTTGCCTACTAATATATATATATAAAAGCAGCTTTATTTTACTGGCTTATCTGTTCCCTGCTTCCTACCCCCTCAATTTCATTTGCATTTGAAATTATTTCTGTGTCTCCTCCACTGCTCTGTAAAAGGTATGGAGTATTTTCTAATCATGACAAAATGTGCTGGGTGGTTCGAAGCAACCCCACTTTTCTTCTGAGCCAGGAAACATGGTGAGTAATTATAATTGGTAGTTATTTTCTAGAATGAAATGCACAGTCTCTCTCTCTCTCTCTCTCTCTCTCTCTCTCTCTCCTTTCTCTAATGCAGTTTCTAGTTCCTCCCTCCTTTTGGAAGTGCATGGCAACACAAATGCTTGAGCAAAGCATCTATTAGGGGCAGGATCCAAGTGGGACTGTTCTGATCATGTTTTCTCTGCAGCATCTGCACATGCAAGGGACTTGCAAATCACACACAGTTTGGCTGGTAAAGTTCAGATTAATATACAAAAGTCTCCCTCTCCCATAGCTTTACTGGCCCCCTGACTACTGGCCTTTGGTCCCATTGCTTGCTCCTGTTCTTAGGTCCTGCACAAGGTCCTTCTTCTTGGCTTAGGGTGGCCACATGCCCTACTATATAGAGGACAGGCCTCTCTCTGGAGGTTTCTACAGTAAAAAGATAAAGAACCATGAGAAGGGAGAGCAGAAGGAGCCTTGAAGTTGACCACCCACAGTTTGCACCTCAGCAGCAGACTGAAAAGGCAAACAGGTCAGCTGGTCATGGTCCTTCCCACAGCGATGAGATGTATCATAACTACTAATTTTTTTTAAATTGCATTTAAATTAGCATATGCAAATCTGTGTTGTCTTTGGGGACACTGAATAAGTGAGCAAACAACATACCTCGGCTCATCCTTCCTCTGATTCCTTGCCTTCTCTGTTTCAATTTTTATAAGAACTCTTGTTTCCTACAACCAACCTTGCACTAAGTTTCTGCTTCTCAACCCACCACCTAATCTCTTTCCTGCCTTTATTCATTCTTTGCATTACAACCATCCAATTTCCAAGGCATCAGACTCTTCGCCTTTGTCTCCAGATCCTAAGGGCCAAACTTAGACTTGATATTTGTCATAGCTTTTGGTTCTGTCTAGCTGCTTTTTCTTCCACAAATAAACCAACAACGTAGAGGGCATTGAGCCAAATAAGGAGCAATGGCGCTGGTGGGAAATTTCCCCTGCATTGCGATGAGTGGGTATGGAGAACCAGTTCTATTTGGGACCATGTTGAGGACGAGGAGTTTAAGCCCCTCTCCACGATAGTCCTGACCTTGGTCAGCCTCCCAACCTGGTTATTTGCAAAAGAAAAAGCACGTCTCTTCTGGCCTTAAAAAACGATGCTCCTGCCAAGCTGATCTATCACTTCCTTCATGAATGCTGCTCTCTTTGCATGCAATTCTGCACACATTTTGTCTGCTTAAATTCCGTTGCCACAGGCTTTCTGCCTAACATCAACATTGCATTGATGGTCACTAACCCACACACCCAAGCAGTTGGAATGTTAGTGAACATTCCATAAAAGATGACATCACAGCTGATGTGCCCAAAGGCTTCAGCAAACCCCGTGGGATTTTTAAAATATATTTTTTCTTTGAACAACAGAACCCCATACCATTTGACAAGCTGCTTTTGAAAGTTCACTCTGTTTCAAAAGTAGATTTGCTATCTGGCACCAGGGGTGGCAATGCAGGTCAAGAAATTAATCCCAAAGCTGCTATTGCTGTAAATAACTAATTTCACAGTATTTGGGTCCCAGCTGCAGAATCTCCCTCATACTCACTTGGGGCATGATCCAGCCAAATCAAAACACTTTAAAGTTGCATTGGTTCCAATGAAGAAATAAGCACATGCTTAACTCACTTCCAAAAGACCTTAAAGGTGTTTCATTTGACTGCATTGTGTCCTTGGAAGATTCACAAAGGCAAACATTACACTGAAAGTCAAAAGAGATGCCAAACTGTCTTACAGATGCACACCTGTCCTGCTGGAAATGCAAATAAGTCTACTTTAGTTGAATGGTCTGTACGTTTCTTCATTTGGGGAAGAAACTTCTAATTTCATTTGATTCCCTGATTTAAAATTAACCAGTGTTGTATGATTGAGTCACACTGCCAACCCAACAGATATCAAAAGCACAGTGGGAATTTGCCTTAGGATAGAATGGCCATGTCTGCCAGCGACAGAAATCATGCAGGGAAGCTTAAGGCTTCAGGGGCGGGGAACTGAATCAGGCAGGCAGGGCCATCCACAGTGACTTCACAAGACTCTAGGTGATCTGTTTTTGCCCAGATGGTTAAAATCAAACTGTACAGGCAAAGGTACAACCCTCAAAGTGCTGTAAATCAGCTTACTGCAATCATTGGGGCTTGAGAAGATCCATGTGCAGTGCTTTAATTTCAAAATTCAGTCTACAAGACCTAAAACAGTTTTGTCTTTCCTATCAAAAAAGTTGGGAAAGAGCCCTAGGCTTTCCAGAGGGGGGGAAATGGGAGGGGAGTGGTGCAGAGTGACTAGAGCAAGGAAGCCAACACAGCCCCCTCTAATTGTTGGACAACAACTCCCATCATCCCCAGCCAGTGATAAGGGGTGGTGGCAGCTGTACTCCAAGAATATCTTGATGGCACAACTTTGGCATCCCCAGGATTGGAGCGTTGAAATGGAACTGGGGAGAGTCAGGTTCAAATCCCCACTCAGGCATGAAGCTTACTATCTCCAGCCTGACCTATCTCACAGGGGATTCAAAAGAGGTGAGTGTTATGTGTGCTACCTTGAGCTCTTTGGAGGGAAAGGAGGATTAGAATGTAACAAATAAATACTACAGAGAATTTACAAGTGCCCTGTGCATTTCAGTGCAATGGAGCTCAGAAATAAAATTCTCACAGAATCACAGAACTGTGGATGACCCCCCAAGGATCATCTAGTACAACCCCCTGCAATGCAGAAATCACAGCTAAATAATCCCTGACAGAGGAGCATCCAATCTCTGCTTTAAAACCTCCAATGAAGAACAGTCTATCATTTTGTGTTCTAGGAGAGGGAAGTTTTGGGATTCAGGTGGCGCTGTGGTCTAAACCACAGAGCCTAGAGCTTGCTGATCAGAAGGTCGGTGGTTCAATTCCCTGTGACGGGGTGAGCTCCTGTTGTTCAGTCCCAGCTCCTGCCCACCTAGCAGTTTGAAAGCACGTCAAAGTGCAAGTAGATAAATAGGTACCACTCTGGCGGGAAGGTAAATGGTGTTTCCGTGCGCTGCTCTGGTTTGCCAGAAGCTGCTTAGTCATGCTGGCCACATGACCTGGAAGCTGTCTGTGGACAAACGCCGGTTCCTCGGCCTATAGAGCGAGATGAGCGCTGAAACCCCAGAGTCATCCGCGACTGGATCTAAAAGGATGTCACATAGAGGAGGGAGAAAGGTTGTTTTCTGCTGCTCCAGAGAAGCGGACACGGAGCAATGGATCCAAACTACAAGAAAGAAGATTCCACCTAAACATTAGGAAGAACTTCCTGACAGTAAGAGCTGTTCGACAGTGGAATTTGCTGCCAAGGAGTGTGGTGGAGTCTCCTTCTTTGGAGGTCTTTAAGCAGAGGCTTGACAACCATATGTCAGGAGTGCTCTGATGGTGTTTCCTGCTTGGCAGGGGGTTGGACTCGATGGCCCTTGTGGTCTCTTCCAACTCTATGATTCTATGATTCTATGATTCTATAACGGTCAGGGGTACCCTTACCTTTACATTAAGTCTAAATAAGGGGGTGGTCTCTATAATACGGAAGCACCGTTGCTTCCAAGTGTCATCACATACTGGGCTATGTGACCCTTGCATAAAGGAGAGCGGCTTTGATGCAATGGCACTTTGGGAAACCCTCCACAGGGAGGGTCAAGTGGCATCACCATCATAGCCACCACCTCAGGATTCATTTGGATGAAGTTTTAATGATAAGCAAGCAGGTTGGAGCCTTCATGCTACTTCCCCTCCTCTTTTCCTCTTTCCAATTTCCATCCTATGAGAATGGTAGTTGCCACAAACTATGGTTAACACAAACCATAGTTTGCCTCCAAATCAGAATTGGAAAAACATGATTTGAGCTTACAAACGTTTGATAACCCTAGTCCGCCCCACCCCATCCACACACACAACAAATATCTGAACTGGGCCCATCTAACATACCCCATTTTCCTGTACTCTCATGTAAAAGTAGCTGTTAAGGAAATTCTCTATCAGAATGTATACATATTCACCCAGAGCCAAGATTCCAAACAGAAAATTGAAAAAAAATCACTGTTTGATGGAGAAAGGGCAATAATTGGGTGCCTGGTGTTTATGAGTGGCCTGGTGACTTTCCGGCATGCACTTATGTGTTGGCAACAGGTTTTTACCCACCTCTCTCTCATTCTCTCTCCCCCTCCCTCCTCTAAACTGTTCTTTGTGAACATGAATGTTGTGATAATGACTCAGAGCTTGGGAAGAAAAGGCAAAGAATTTTGCTGCTGACAAACACTAATATTAGCCCCAAAAGAAAGTAGGAGAGAAAACTGAATGGGCAGCTGAAGGAACATGTAGGCAAGGGGGATTATTGCAGGGAGTTGTTTCCGGGGGGACAAGTTCAAAAAGAAAAGAGAGAGAAGTAAAGGTTTTTGCCACTTAGATGTCAAGAGTAGCCCTATAGGCTGCTGTAAGTATTAATCTTGTGCTGAAAAGGACTGAAGGCAAGAGCTTTGTTCTGTATTTGCTTGATACCCTCAGACGTGAGCCATTTTGGAAAGTACACAGTAAAAGACTTCATAGGAGTATCCAGCTGATAGCTTCAGTATAGAATAACAGAAAAAGCACCTTAGCTCAAAACCTCAAGTTCAAGGGAGAATTGACAGACTTGGCCATGTGGGCTGGTCCATGGGTAGCAAGCCTGGAGTGACTCAGGAGCTGTGAACCAGGAATTAGTGCCAAGGAACAACATACCCTCCAACATTTCTCTAATGAAAATAGGGACGTCCTGGTCTATACTATTTTTTATATACCCCACCCATCTGACTGGGTTGCCCCAGCCATTCTGGGTGGCTTTCAACATATATAAAAACATAATAAAGCATTAAACATTTTTTTAAAAATCCCTAAATATTGGGCTGCCTTCAGATGTCTTCTAAAGGTTGTATAGTTACTTATCTCCTTGGCTCAGGGGTTGCATAACTTCATATCCTCCAACATTTCTCCGATGAAAACAGGAACATTCTAAGGAAAAGTAAGACATTCCGGGATCAAATCAGAAACCGGGACGGCTTCTGTAAATCCAGGACTGTCCCTGGAAAATAATGAAACACTTGGAGGGTCTGGGAACAATCAGGCTCTGAGGGCAAACGCGAAGGCTGAGCCAGAGAACAAGCCAGGATTAAAGAGCAGGACTGGAAACACAAGGCCACAGGTAGAACTTGTTGTTCAAGCAAGATTCTAGTGAGACAGGAAGCCCTCCTTCCTGCCCAGACGTAACCAAGGAAGTTGCTTTGTACCGCGTCAGACCACTGGCCCATTTAGCTCAGTACCGTCTAGGATTTCAGACACAGTTTTCTCCTAGGCATACCTGGAGATGCCAGGGACTGGACCTGGGACTTTCTGCATGGAAAGCAGATGCCACACCACTGAGCTATGGCCCTTCTCTCAGTGTACAGCCTGGTTTGGGTCAGTTTGGAAGGGTCTTCGCTGAGAAGCTACAGTGAAAGGAGAAGCATCCAGAAGCTCCTCACACCAGGACTTAAAGCAGGATGGGAGCTGACACCTCTCCCAGGGAGTTGCTGTGGTATATTCTATGCTAAGGCCTCTGAGCTCTCTTCAGTGGTGTGTGCAATGTGGTGTGTTCAACATCACTGTGACCAGCAGACTGGATGTAGCCACTCTGTTGGCAGGAAATAAATATTGTTAGGAAAACATTCTTTAAAAAACAGATACAAGTTCCTGGAAGCTTTAAAGAGGGTTCCAGAATTTTCTTTAGTGTGTAGGAGTGGCACTCTAGGCTTGATTGGTGTCAGCTAGAGGTGCAAATAAAGGGAGGAAGTTGCAGACTGCAATAACCACAGGAGGAAAACACACACACACACACACACACACACACACACACACAGTCAGCACGCATGGTGACAACAAGATTGGAAGTAAGACAATGTGTGCTGCTGTTACTGTGAGTTTTGCTGCATCAGGATTGTCAATTACTGGACTGAGATTATACCAAGCTGGAGAGATAAAGAAGGAATGTAAATAGCTTGTATATAATAGTAACAGAAATGCTTGTGCAACCAGTCAAGCAATAAAGAAGCTCTTGACTGTGAATTTGAGTATGACTCCTGTTCTTGTCCTCTGCCTCTGGGAAAACTCTGCTACAAACAGTAAGAAGTGGCTTTACACAGGTGCCACCACACAAGCAGAAGGCGCAGCGAATGTTTGTGGGTGGCAACCTCTAATAAATATTAGGACTGTGGCTTTAGGTCCCTACCTGGCCCACAAGTCTAGCGCTTACAACTTGTTATGCAATTCTGCCTCCAGCAACATACCAACGTGCTGCAGAAAAAATAAGGGGAAACAGTGCACAAACACTGTATAAATTAAGGCACTAGTAATAAGGTAAAAGTTTAGTTTTGAAGACAAGTTTATCACAGAACATTTTAAACACAGATGGTCACTAATATGACAGCCCATCACCCACAGTAGACTGTTTTACCTTTTGACGCTTTTATGAAATAAACCAGCTGGAGATTTTAGACCCATTAACTATACAGGGACAGAAAAATCCTCTGGAGCATCATCACAGATATGTGAATCTATCAATGTATCTGCCCATTTGATGTGTTTGAAGCATGCTGTTGCTTACAAAAGCATAAGCAAAAATATATCAGCTAGTCTTTGATGTGTCTCAATGCTTTGTCTTTATAATTAAATTTTAATCTTCATTTTTAATCATTATTTTTTGAGTAAGGGCTTGATCTTAATGTGAGTGGTGAGTCTGTTACTGATCTGAAAATTCTAAAATCAGAGTTAAAGATATTGTATTCAATCTTCCCACCCCTTCATAGTTTTCTTTCTGTGAAAAGTTAATGGGGAAACAGTCGTGGTCCAAAATAAAATCCTTCACTATTTATCTCATTTGCACTTCATACAGTATTCATTATTAAGCTGCCTAATTTTGTAAATGACAAGAAAATCAAAACATCCTTTGTCAGGTGCTCAAAATGCCAAAAGTGTTGGCAAACTTACAGCCCTTGGGATGGACATAAACCACAGCTCCAGGCCTTTGATATCCCTAAGCTTGGATTGTGTGCTGTGGGATGTAATTTGTATCTTGAGCTTGTGAAATTATCCTGTTATGAATCACTGGGCAGGGAGATAAATGGAGGAAGCTAAAGCTTCTTCTTTTTTACATTAATTTAACATTACCATTAAAAATAGATTGAGTTGCATTTTGAAAATGCCACAGTTGCATGTTTGCTTGTTTTTTGGTTAATGCAATCATTACGAAGCAGGTGCACGGTGGGATAATAGCACTGAGTGACTTAAATGTTGGTTGATGAACTCTGCTTTGAAGAGGCAGTTGTGATGCACATGTGTCTGTGTGGGTAAGGATAGTGGAGATGGTAGGTCTAGAACAGCCTTTCTCAACCTTGGGTCCCCAGATGTTGTTGGACTACAACTCCCATCACCACTGGTCCTGCTAGCTAGCAATGATGGGAGCTGTAGTCCAGGAATACCTTTGGGACCAAGGCTCAGAAAGGCTGGTCTAGAAGATGAGCCAAGTTAGATTCAAATTCAATGCATAGCACTGAAAAGAAACTGCACCTCCCCTGCTGATTTTATCAATGCTGTTTGGGACCTGAGGTTTTGTTTTAGTTGGGGATGAGGACTAAGGTATCCTTTCATTGTTTGCAAGAGGAGTACACCTTTGGATTTTATGCCTTCCTTAATTTAAAATGTCTTCAAGAGCAATAATAGTAAGAAAAGGAAGGGGGAAGTCACAATGACTTCTTTTTAAAAAATATATATCCTAAAGCGTCAAGAAGCTGTCATTTAAACTGAACTTCTGCCCATCCCTATGGCAACTAATGGAAACATTTAATGCTGTCTTTCTATACACAAAAAATGTAACGCGCTCCCCCACAACACTTCTCTTTTTTATGCTAAAATCACTCAATGCCACCCACGCTATTGTGAGACTGCTACTAAACCGAAATGCATCAGAGGTACATCAACAGCACAAAATGATGTCCCAAATAACCATGAAATGCGGCTATTTCATGGCTGGTTTGTTGCCTACAGGCAGCAGGTCAGCATGACTTATGATCCACCCAGATGAACATAAGACAGTGGCCATGTTATCTGCCATGTGCTTCCTCTACCCTTGTCCCTCTCTCTCTCTCTCTCTCTCTCTCTCTCTCTCACACACACACACACACACACCTTGCTTTCACAGTCACAGACACAAAGTCAAACCAGGATATTTGTCAACTCGCTGGTGGGCTCCCAACCATGATTGGTGAGCTGAACTCCATTTGGTGGGGCAATAACTGTGCTGAGCAGACCTGGAATATAGGATCCTGAAAGCCCTATCAAATGAACTTCCACCAGTAGCCGACAGATGTGTTAAATTCATTCTAGAATTAACAACTGCTGCTTAAAACGATTGGTACAAAGCAACAGGTGTTTTGCCATTGTCTTCAACTGCATGCAGATGGATGGTCTGAGGATTTTTCTGATGACTTTTTGGATCCTGTCCACCTGAGCTCAGGCACAAGTTACAAGAAAGGAGGTTCCAACTAAACATCAGAGAGAACTTTCTGACAGGAAGAGCTGTGTGACAGTGGAACAGTCTCCCTCGGGAGGTTGTGGACTCTCCTTCATGGGAGGTTTTTGGATAGGTTCAGTGGTTCTAGAGTTGCAGCAATAGGGAAACTTGCCATGATCAATAACAATCTCAGCTGCCAAGAAGAGGGAGAGGAAGCAGTCCAAAGGAGATAGTGAGAGAGTACCTGAGACTGCCCAAGCCAGCTTTGTGCTGGAGTGAGATCAGGACCCTGGACAGTGACAAGGATGCTGAGCAAGAGATAACACAGAAACAAGAAATTCAGGATCACAGGTAGCAATCCTACAGTTGAGAAGAAAGTTGCCTCGGCAGTGACTTGCAACACTTGTCATAGTCTGGCCTGGAGAATCAAGACCGGAGCATCATCCTCTGAGTGCTACAACATGCCGGTTACAGAGCCAGTGCCATTTCCTGTAGCCATTGGTTCCTTATAAGAGACAGAGTTTGGGGCTGCAGGAGCTTCTTGATGCTCAGAGTCATTAGACAATTGCTCAGAGTCCACAGGCGGAGGTGCCTCCCTGGTGGCAGCCTAGGTGCAGGATCTGGCGTTGGCAGGTCAACCTTTGCCACCACGTAGAGCTAACAGGATATTGATTGGACTGTACCTGATTTCAGGGGTGTGTAACCTTTGCAGTAAACATCACATTCTATCCCTGTTATTTGCAAATAAAGACCACTTATTTCCACATATGAATGAGTAAGGTTAGTTGTGTAAAAAAAAGGTCTGCATTTTATCCAAAGCCACAGTATCAGAAGCAGCCTAGTCTGGCCTTTGCAAATATTGTGGATGGGAATCATCTGTTTGCAAAGAAGACAGCTGTAACATCCCCTCCTCCCACACATGATTAGGGGAAAGTAATCTTTAAAGGCAGCTAGGATTTTGAAGGAGGTTGTGGCATTAATGGCACCATGCTGAGATACAATCAATACAATGAAATACAAGAGAGAGCAATCCTCAAATTCTTACCCTTGGTGTAAAACCCAGCAAAGTGGGCTACTCTAGGGTAATGCATTTGATACCCTGTCCAACAGATCAGCAAGAAAGCTGATAATGCATAGCAAGCCATCTTTTAACAAAAAAGATAATACTGGACATGTTTATTTTAAAAGTTACCTACCACTTCAAAATCACTTTGCAGTACCAGAAAGAAGAGGACTTGATTGCATGTGTAACAGAAGAAGAATTCCAGCAGTATTCATCTTCAAGTACATGTGAGACATAAAACAATATAATCAGATTTAATACTTAAAAATATTAGAAGAAGAAGAAGGAGGAGGAGGAGGAGGAGGAGGAGGAGGAGGAGGAGGAGGAGAAGAAGAAGAAGAAGAAGAAGAAGAAGAAGAAGAAGAAGAAGAAGAAGTGTTTGGATTTGATATCCCGCTTTATCACTACCCTAAGGAGTCTCAAAGTGGCTAACAATCTCCTTTCCCTTCTTCCCCCACAACAAACACTCTGTGAGGTGAGTGGGGCTGAGAGACTAAGAGTGGGGGAACCAAACCAAGCAGGGTGCATCAGCACGCATAGTATAATTCAATAGTTTGATTCATATGCTTAAGATAGATATTGGAAAGCAAGGAGGAGAAGAGGAAACATTAGAATGAGAGTGATGCTGATTTGTCTTTTGGAGCTCAAGAAATGTATGTAAACAATTGGCAAAACAATGAACATTCTGCAAGGCATCCCACTTTCCTAATTCATTTGTGCTTATTATATTTTGTCCATCAGAATATGGTGGCTGCAACAGATACATCATCTCAGTCCAATGCTTTTCAATTGAGTTATTTTTCACATTCAGCCGCCTGCCTTT